AGGCAAAGAAATGCATAAAATCAAACCACATCCTAATTATCATCTTTTAAAAAAATAATCTATTTCAAAAGATCAGTCTCATGGGTTTTTTATTTTAATATTGTCCTAATTAGATTCCTCTTAAAAGATAGTTTTCTGATGGGAGTAAAGGCAAAAACCCACTGGGATCTGCCCTTATTGCTTACATGTCTTGACTACAGTACGCTTTGCTTGTCAAAGAAATACTTTTGAGTTCAGGTGCAATTTTTCATTTACTGTTGTGGGTTGCCAATGAGTAAGCCATTTCATAATAGCTCAGAAGCATGTAGACTGCGGAGTTTGTGATGATAGACAGGACAGCATAGTGTGAGGGTAGAAAGAAAGGAAGGAGGAACAAGAAAATGAATTTTCAGAGTGACAAGACTAATGTGTAGAATTAAATATTAAAGGAGGTTCCTTTTCTTAATTAAATGCCTAAGGTATGACTTGTTTTGAGGAAGCTTGTAAACTGGTTCCCAAACTATTTAATTACTACTGTACCATTCATCTTACCTGTCTCAAAAATATTAATCATCAAATGGTAAAATATTAGTCTGTAGTAGGAGGGTAATGTCAGAAGCTGAAACTCCAGTTCATTACAAATTCTGTCTCTCATCGTGACCTTTTAAAGTGCATGCTAAACAAAATAAATACAGTTTTTTTAAGATTCTTGTCAATATTGAGAAATCGGGGAATATAGGTGTAAAGTATTCTTGTCTGTATGAGATACATACTACTTCCTTAGCGCGTAATAGTGCAGTGTTTGTTCTATAGCATTTTATTTAGGAGTTCATCTCTATGTGTAAATGCTTCTGTGAATCAATGAGAAGAAATTTACAATTCAGCAAAACTGTCTGCTTTGATGTATCACCATGTAGCAAATGAATCTGTGGAATCTGGAGGAGTAGATATTTGTAGTGGCTTTTTAGTACCTCCTTCAGAAGGCAGTTCTGCAGGAGGTAGGTTTCTCTTGCTGCAGGAGAAAGGAGGTCTGGACCTTAAATGTGATAGGCTCACGTTTGTTATGAGAGGTGAGTGACTTCATGGATGACATTGTTAATAACTAGTATGAACAGCACAAATTTAAGAATCCAAGAAACCAACAACCTCATTAAAGAACTGAGAAAATGTAGCGCTCTCTTTGCCTTGTATAACCTGAGGTTCTGAAGAAGGACCGGGACTGGCTTTTTTCAGTGGTGGTGTTTGCATACAGATTATTACAAGCAGACTCAACTAATATGAAATGCTCTAAACGAATTGATTCAACTAGATCACGGCAAGAGAAAGATTCAGTGTTTTTCATGCCATTTCAAAAATGATGCTGTCCTGTTTTGGAGACCTGAAATCAGCAACAGTCTATCTGAAAATAATTGATTTGATGTCGAAGAGGAATTCTGCTTGGTCTGTTTACTGCTTTTGCCATGTGGATGAAAAAGAACAAGCTGCGAGTGAAGTTACAGGTTTAAAACTTTGTTTCCTCAGCTGCCTCTTCTTTTCTTTCCTAAGTGTAGTCTAGTTATTTTAAGTGAAAGGGACACTTATTGGTATTCAGGGAGGTAAATGTTAAAAGATTTCTCATAGAGCGTTTATGTTTAAATGGTTAATTATCACTGTTTTCCATGTTCTTGTGCATTGCCATGTATAAAAGGTTTTTAGCCATTACACTTTCTAAATGGAACATTTTACAATAGTTAATAGCTTCTTCAAGGAGAAGCTCGTATTTGCATTCATCTTAATTAATCTTCTATATTTTGCATAATAAAAATAATGCAGTGCTTTTTTTTCAGGCATTATAAGATATACTTTTAAATATATTTATTTAAAGCAGTAAAAATTCTGAGCTTTTGGATCAAGCTGGTTTTCTTTGGTTTTGGTGCTTTTACAAACCAATTTCTTATTGTCATTGTGCATTCTGGGTTACATTTTTCATTTAGAAAATCTGTAATTTTCACTCGGCGAAATGGCTTTTTTACCTTGAAATATGCACAACCCCTATACAGATACCATTTTTTGATTCTGGATATATTTTTAACAAGATATCTTAGCAGAATAAAATATCTCTCTATTTCTTGGACAGTGTTATACTGAAAATTACTACTGGAAATAGAATGAGCTGTCAATGTTGTTAACTTAAACTGATGATCAGAGCAGAAAGGAGGGAAGCATTGGGAAGACTTTGCATAGTCTGATGCAAGTTGTGTATTTTTGAAACAGTATTTTCTCAATACATATATGCTCTATCAATTCACCCCCCACCTTTTTTACTTTTAAAATCAGTGATCCAGAGGGAAGCCTTCAAGCCATTCTGAGCCCCTTTTAAGAATTACCTACAGAGTCCAGCAGAAGCAGATGTAGAGGTTTTAGGCTTTTCTGGTGGAAGGTCATGCCAAAGGAAGTCAGCAGAGCCTGAAAATGTTCTGGGAGCAGCATCTGGTTTTTCTATGTTATTTTCTTGTCTCAAGTGAGCACGTTTTGGTTTGTGGATGGCACTTGGAAAAGCTTCTTTACTTTCTTACCCAATTAGTGCCTTTCAGTGTGTAATTAATAATAAAATGTCTGTTTGATTTATTCGCTGGTGGCCGCAAGTGCATGCAAGTTATTTGGCCTTAAAGAATATTGTGAAGGACTTTTGTCTGTCGTAAGTCATGCTAATCAAAAAAGTACACACTACTAAGTTCAATTTTTTTTTAAAATTTTTTTTTTTTAACTACTGTGTTCACTAACAAAGCGTTGAAATAGAGAATTAGTGTTTCGGGTGGCTTTTACCTTTTGTTCTAGTTCCATTATTCTGTATAGCCATAGCTGTAAATAAATACATAGATTTTTTTTTTTTAATCACTTCTCTACCATAAATAGTTTTCATTATTGTTGACTAGTAAGAGGAGTTTCAGTTGTAGTATCCAGTAAGAATTACAATTATGTTCCATAATTTATTCAGTAGGAAATGTTCAAAGAGGGACAATAACTTTCTCTACAAATTTCAGTCTGACATGTCTATATCATGCATCTAAGATGCAGAACTTTAAAAGTTAGTTTCCAAATCTGGCTCATTGTAGTGACTGACCTTGAGGTGCGTATCTTACCTGAATAATTGTGTGCAGAAATATGAAATATTAAGTGGAGTTCAAGTACTAATAAAAAAAAAAAAAAAAAAGAGAAAGCAGTTATTTTCAAACAAATACTATGTTCCTTTCCTGACTGAAGCTTAAAGAAACAGTTCTGTATTATGCATTGATTGGAGAACTGACGCTTACTTAAGTAGGAATTTGATGTAGGAATATGAAACAAGCCATTCAAAGCAGCTGAGATACTTCGGTATCAACAAGATGTTAGAGGAGAATTTTACTTTTCTTAGAGTGAAATACAAGTACTGCAGGGGACATGTTGTCGAACAAGATCACTACAGAACTGCATTGGAAGTCAGTAGAGTGGGCCCAGAAAAGCAGAGCAGCTAAATTGGCTTTCCTCTGGGATCAGGTTTGACCATCTGATGCTTGATAGGGGTGGGGAGGTGTTTGGGGTTTCCCCCCCACCCCCCCCTTTTTTTTTGTATGTCTGTAAAACATTTAGACCTCATTCCATTTTGTAAACATCAGTTTGAAACAGAGTTTTATTTATCAATATGTCCAAAACATTTAATTATCTTTTCTTTTTCAGCAGTATTGACTATACTGGGGATAGGAATGTAATTTGAATTTGTTCTACTAATGTAGTAGAACATGTAGTTCTACTACTACACGTAGCAGAAGTCATGTAGTTTGGTGAAAACACTACATGGTTTATTGAATTATTACAATGCAGTAATCCAGCTTTTACATTGATCCAATAAATTGACTGAATTACATGTAAATACCTTGAAACAGATGTTGGGCTATTCTGAACTTTCCACCTTTCCAGCATAATTTTTCAAAGGCTGGTATTGTCTTTCTGTGCAAATTCTAAAGTTGTGGTTAAACTGTGTAATTCTAAGGTTGTGGGTTTTGGTTTTCTGAGTAGCAAAGCAGGTATTGGGCAAGTGTCAGTTTCTGGAATTTGTCTTGTTACACTGCACTCTTTTCTTGTGATTGCATAGTAAAAAACGTGGTTGAATTGAAGTAATTTAATGTATAGATTTAAATTATATTTGTTGATAGAACTATGAATATACTGAAACCATGCATTCATTTTTAAAAACACGTAATATTCAGTCTCGCACATTGTCACAGCATCATATAAATTTTAAACAGTTTTCAGTAATTGCCTCTCTACCCCAATTTTGTAGATGATTTGTTAGTTTTGGAATGCAAAAGGAGTGATAAAGCCCCACTAATATCTTGTCTTTTCTTTCAAAGTTCGCTCAGTAATAGCAATTTACTTATCCAAAGGGGATCAAGTTTACTTTGCTTCACTTTGTACAGACTGTTTTTCATAGATTCTTACCTTAAATGCTCCAGTCTGCCAGGAAATTTCACCATCTTTGGATGTGAGCTTAGTGACAGCCTTTATCTAAGGGTTCTCATGTGGTCTTGTCCTGCGCTAGGTAAATAATGCTAACCACCAGTTAAAGCTGCTGAGGCAGTTACACTGAAAGTATTAGGAAAAGAAAGAAGCTTCAGATTCCAATTACTGCTTAAAATACGTGCTTGCATGTGTGTTATCACATGTGCCATACCAGTACTGTGTACCAATTCTACAGAACATCTTAACAGAGCAGTGTTAAACGTAGTATAAGGGCTTTTTTCTCTTGTTTGTTTTGTCTCTTAGTATTTTCCTCTTTCATCTGCTTTTCCCCTTTTTGCTTTTTCTGTCCCTGGTATGTGCATGGTCTGTGTCCGTCCTTTCTGCTTGAGGTTCCTTACTCTTTCATAGGTATCTATCATTATTCTTCCTCTGAGGACTGGGGAGGAGGCTTTAGCCTTCCTCTGGGGAGTGGGGATTTAGCTTCTATAGTCAGAACGCTTAATATACATCAACATATTAATGTAACATTTTGTGTTCTGCAGGTTGGGAATCCACGTGTTGAGCTCACTCTTTCTGAACTTCAAGATATGGCTGCCCGACAACAGCAGCAGATTGAAAATCAACAGCAAATGTTGGTTGCTAAGGTAATAATTATATACAGATCATAATAAATACAAATTTCCTTTAACACACGCAAATGTAAGTTTCATGGATAGAGAAAAACATGCTAATTCATTCTAGGTAAGCTCAAGAAAGAGCTTGAGAAATCCATTGTTTTACCAAGTTAATCTTAACCTAGGCAATATACAACATTTCAGTGTAAATGGTACTGTAACAACCTATGTCAAGCCAATTTTATGTGTCTTTATAAAAACATTGCTAAGTTTTATTTGTCTCTTTTGTGAGGTCCACTTCATGATCTGTGATAGACCAGGCTTGACTCTATGCTCATCTTCAGTAGCTCATTCACTCCAGTATAGTAATAGTGGTGTGAGATGAGAATATGCCCACTTTGTATATATCCATATATTACATTTCCAGTCATTGAGATGCAGGAATCTAAGTATGTTTTCAGAGCGGGGAGTGGGTTTAATGTTTTTGACATTATTGTAGGTGTTGTTATGTACAGTATGCATTGGATGCTTGGAGTACTTGGGAGTCAACCTATCAATTCTGTTGTTCTTTTTTGATGGAAGTAATCTAGAAAAAATAAACATTTTTCATATGTGCCCAGCAGAAGCACTGTTACTTAGAACTGGAACATTATCTTACAGTAGCTCAGCTTGTTTAAAATGGTCTGTTGGACATACTTTGTCGTCTTTGGGAAGCTGGATAACAGCGTTGGAAGTTCAAGTGTTAGTAGCAGCAGAAAACAAATGCCAGAGGAAGCTTCACAGATGTGTCTGAATGAGTGTTCAGCCTAGGGTTGTATTTGCACATATATGTAAATTTGATATTTGGTCTAAAAATCTTGAATCTCTGCTCTAAAACAGATTTGTTCAGTTAATGTGAAGAGTTTTTCTAGGAGGACTGATATGTATTTTACTAGATACAACTTTTTCTGATTTCTGGAAATAAAAAAACCCCACTGGTCATAGTGGTGGGTTTTTCTAAGTTAACTTTTTTTAAAAATAAATGGGTAACAGGTACGTCTTGTCTAAAACCTCATTTTGTCAGGAACAACGTTTGCGTTATCTGAAGCAGCAAGAACGTCGTCAGCAGCAGTCTGTTTCTGAGAGTGAAAAGCTTCAAAAACTTAAAGAACGTGTTGAAACCCAGGAGACAAAGCTGAAAAAAATCCGTGCCATGAGAGGACAAGTGGACTACAGCAAGATCATGAATGGCAATCTATGTATGTGGAATTTTTAAGTAATTTATTTAACTTAATTTACTATTCATTGCATGACTAGCAAATAATGCTATATTGCTAGTCAATATAGCATTGAAGCAGGATTTCAGATAGAATGTTTTTTGTCTTACAGAGGTCCCTGTGTTTCTATGAAATTTGTATATGACGTAACTTTTTGTTTGTTTTATGTAGTCAGGCATAAAGTCAGAATAAGTCTATTCTATAACTATTAGGAAATATTATGACTGTTAGCAAATTCCCAACACATAAATATTTTATATGTGCATGCATATACTAGATTTAAAACTAGTGTGTTATATTTATCAATACCTACAGAATTAAAAAATTAACTTCTGCTGTACTTAATTGTCTTTCATAATTCTTATCTTGTTAATATTAGCAACTGAAATTGAGCATATAAGTGCCATGTTCCAGGAAAAGCAGCAGGAGCTACAGGCTGCAGTGTTAAAAGTGGATCAACTTACTCAGCAGCTGGAGGATTTAAGGAAAGGGAAACTGAATGGGTTTCAGTCTTATAATGGACAAATGACAGGACCTGCAGCAGTAGAATTAAAAAAGTTGTATCAAGAGCTACAGGTAAGTAATGGAGACATGCTATTTGGATGATAGCTGTAGATTTTTAAAAGTTGTATTACTACTCTTATGGGTGGCAATTTGGTTCTGTGACATCTTATAAAACTGGTGTATTGGAATGCTGTTAATGTGTGAGGTTGTAGTTAGCATATAACCCTCTTTAAAACAGAATTTAATTAGCTATAAAAACTATTTTTGTTGTTGCTCATACACATAATGATACAAAGTGTGCAAGTGTTCTGAAGGACATTTCTCAGCCCCTAATACTGAAATACTGAATGTTGACATAATCTAGTATTTGTTTTAATCTCTATTTAAAAAAAAAAAAAAAAAAATTCATTTCAGCACTTTTCTATTGTGCAAAGAACTGGGTGTAGCAAGCTCACTTAGATATCGTCCTAACTTGGAGACATGACTGGACCATGATGGAAATATCTAGGTTTTTTTTTTAACCCTATTTAAAAAAAAAAAAAAAAAAATTCATTTCAGCACTTTTCTATTGTGCAAAGAACTGGGGGTAGCAAGCTCACTTAGATATCGTCCTAACTTGGAGACATGACTGGACCATGAATACAATTATATTTAAAATATATTGTGAAAATATAGCTACAATGTCTGGTGTAAATAAACAAAATACATAGGAATTAAATAACACATTTTGACAGAATCATGAAAAATAGAAGTTGCACTGTATTCACTGCACTATAGCTGCAGTATATTCACACAGTATTCCCTGTATCACTATCATATATCTTCCTCCAAGAAGATTGTTACATCTGAAGTGTAGTTCTCACAAGAGTAATTAAATATTCCATTTACATTGGAACTTTGTCCAGTTTTTATGTTTAAAAGTTATGGAATACTTAATCATATGCCAATATGTCAGGATTTGAGGGCTTTTTTATTTACTCATGTACTTTATTTATATTATGTACTTTTACTTGATCACTTTATTGTGATCAAGGCAACAGCTCTAGTATATATTTAATATTTCAAAATTAATTTAAATTTCAAAATTAGTCTCACTTATTTCTTTACATGAGCAAATACAACATAAAAATTAAACCCATCACATGTTTTCATGAATTAGGAATAAGGGTCCTTTTTTTCCCCCCTTTTTCCCCTTTCCCCATTTGTACAAGGCATATAGAATCATAGAATAGTTTGGGTTGGAAGGGACCTTTAAAGGTCATCTAGTCCAACCCACTCTGCTATGAGCAGGGACATCTTCGACTAGATCAGATATCTACCTTTCGAGTATTTCTAAGTGCAAAGATGCTCAATAGATTAAGATTTCTCTCTTGTGCTTCACAATGATCCCATATGTGTTCATCAAGACTTAAATTTGCCTCAGGTTTTTTTTGCATGTAACATCACCATGAAAGTTGGAACACTGAGACAATACTGTCACAGTTATTGGAGGTATGAAAATAATGCAAATGGGAAAGCAAGAGAAATAATTAGAAAGACTGTCTTGGTTGATTCAAACCATAAAGGTAATCCATCCCCTAATCTTACTAGAAACCTGCTGTGAAGGTTTCAGTTTAATCCCCATGTAGAGAGGAAAATCTGTGCCCAGTCCCTGCACTAGCAGTTCAGTTAACCTTCCATCCAGACATCAAGAAGTTTCATGTGGAACTGGAAACAGAATCAATAGCATAATTTCTGTTTTATATCACTTAGTTTTCATGATATTCAAACTGTCTTGGTGGTTAAATATAACTTTTAACAAACTTTTTCTGTGACTTAATTTTTCATGGAGTAATTAAGTTCTGAAATGTCTTATGCCTAATTCTTCAATCTATTTGCTATAAATGGGGATGCAGTCTACGTGTATTTAATAGGTATCCACTAGTTTATTAGGACATGCTTTTGCTGCTTTCTTTTCGGAGTTGTTCATGGTTGCAAATGCTAATTTGACAGGCTGTGTGGAAGCATAACATTAGAGATGTCAGAACATAGCCGACCCAAGCTGCTTTGGGTTTTTTAAACACTGTATTAAAAAACAACTTGACAACAGACAAAATGAAGGAACTGTCCTAAAAAGTGCTTTTTTTTTTTTTTTTTTTTAAG